ACACTGTTTGTAGATGAAATCAGAACTCTGCTGCAATTCGGTTGTTTGTGTACAAAACAAGAGCTATCAGATTCACCGACACCTAAATCTTAGAAACTCAGGTCTCAAAGTGGAAGGTTTTAGTTCTAATGCCTGGCATCCCTTCACAGGAAAACACAATTATAAAAACAAAAGTGGAAGTGTTTATGCATGGTTAGTCAATAGTCATTCTGCACATGCACGAATACATCAACAACAGTAACAATAGCTGATACCAGAATACCGTTTTGGCTGCAACAGGTCATTGTCTTCTGAGGTCTGTCTAAACTGAAATTGCAATCATTACCGTGTGAACATGTAACTTCTTAACAAGCTACAGTGGAAAATTTACGTTTTCAAGAGATTACTCCCATGTAAACTGGGCCTAATTCACACCTTAATGCATGTGACCAAAGCATGATAAGTGTACCATGGAAGGTAAAAAGAGCAACTTAACGCCTCCTTACATACAGATTTTGCACTACTACATGCACAAATAGTGCACAAACTCAAGCCTGAAACTTACAAATAAATGTCCCTTTCAGCAGACTGAAAATGACCTTTGTATAAATTAATATAAATAACAAGAATTTATATTTCAAGACAAACCCTGCTAAATCATGTACAAATCGTTTGAGGAGGTAGATCCATCAAGCTACTGTTTGTGGAGTATTTGTCAAGTGACGTCAAGTTTCAGTCTTGAAACAATAATTACTTAAAGCACACGTGTCAACACAAGGCCCGCGGGCCAGATGTGGCCCAATTGTCGTATGATAAATAAGTCAAAACGGTGCACAGACGACATGTTCCATAATGCATGCCAATTATGTTAGCTGTGTAGTAACAGCACCCCACTACTGGACTGCAGCTTTTACACATCAATATCATTTTCCGAACAAGTGGAATTGAGAAATACAAACAATGATCCCAAAATGTCCAGGAGGAGAAAAAAATGATGCGGATGAAGGCTCTTTCAAGAAAGACGGAAAAGTGAATACAGTATATGTTTGTGCTTCAAGGAGAGAAACCGCTATGTCTTTTGTCTTATGAGGCAGTGGCGGACGTGAGAGTACGATCTACACCGGCATTTTGACACCAAACACAGAGCTAAGTATGACAAAGTGAGCCTTCAACCCTAATGTTGTTATTTTTGAGTTTATTATACTTATTAAATGTATTTCATTATACATGTTGAATTTGCAGCAATGTATTTGGGATTGCAGGTTTATGTGTTTATGCATGTAAATGTTTTCTATGATAATACCAACTCTAATAAGTTGGATGTATGACCCTTGCAAGTCTGTGTGCAGTCATTTATTTTCTGTAAAATGCTACACCCTCACATCTTAGCAGCTCACAGCTGCTGGTTGGACCGTTCTGTCCCTCTTAACACAAAAGTTTTGAACAAAGTTAGTGTCATAACTTGTTTTTCCTTATTCACTTGGAAAGTTTGATCATTGATTTATGGAGTAATGTGGGTTTCATGACAGCAGACATGTTTCTACATCTATGCATATATATATATATATATATATATATATATATATATATATATATATAATTTGTAAATTAGATAAGTTTTTCTTATACATTTTATTGTTGGATGTAACTGGGACCCTGTGTACATAATTTCGCTCCACCACATGTACCACATGAGGTGTGAATGACAATAAAGAAACTCTGACTCTGACTCTGACTCTTAAAAAAACAGTTATTTAACATTAAGGGGTAGTTTTGCTTATTTTACATTACATTTAGTTAAATTTAGCTAAATTTATAATGTCTTACAGTTAAATCTGGCCCTTTGAGGGCAACCATTATGCTGATGTGGCCCTCGGTGGAAATAAGTTGACACCCCTGGGTTACTTATTATTGTTTAACTTCACAAGTATTTGTACACATATTTCCCATGTAAATTCCAAGTTTAACTGTGAAGCTCTGTCCCTTTGGATATGACGATCTACGCACCTGTTTGAGCTACGTACTTCTGGCTTGTCGTCTACTTTAGGAATATCAAAACATGTTTAATACAAGTAAACTTTAACTTTTCCAAAAAGTACAACTCTAAAGCACATACATCATAAAGCAGCAAGCGTTATGTGTTTTATTAAAACTGTTTACTTACCTGATTCCGAAGCTTTAGCTGCTAGCTTCAACGTGTAAAATAAAAATAAAAATAAAAATGACGAAGAAGAAATGATGCGTTCAAGAACTTATAGAATCGTGTAGAAATATCTGTTCAGTTACTCCGGAAAGTTTGTGTAAAAACAAACAAGCAAATGAAGAAAAAACAACTTCCCAAAAAAGCTCCTCAACAGGTGAGCGATTTATTTTTTGTTTATTTATTTATTTATTTATTTGCTTTGACTCACTGACAGTAATATGCAAACAACAACAACAACAAAAAACTAGTAGGTCCACTCTGTTGGAAATCAAGTTCCGTGGCTGGTATGGATGATTTGGAAAAGGTAAAGCCTGCCCTCTAGTGTCAGACCTTTGTAAATGCAAGCTGTGAGTATCTATCGTTTCTAAACTTTTTGTCACTAAAGTGTACTCTATTTTCTTCAAAGGGGAAAATAGTCATAAACTATAAACTTTGTTTGAGCTTTCATATGAAAAATCTTATGTCAAAGAATATTCTGTCAATGGATATGTTATAGTGTTTTTAATTCATATATCAGTAAAATTTTACAAAGAAATCTGACCAAAAATAGAGTAAAACATGAGATACTGGGGAGTGTTTTTTTATTTCTTTATTAGTATATATGTCATTACTTCACCATTTTACATTACTGTCAGAAAACAATTACAGTCAAATTAACCTAGGCAATTTAGGCCATGCTAACATTACAAAAAATGTATTAAACTACTTTTTATACAACAAAAAGAACATTACTAAGTAAACAAATACATAAATAAAGTACATACTTATCTTTATCATTTAGTGAACCACACACTTTCATTTAACTTAAAAACAAAATGCAAAAACGACTTAAAGAGGACAGATTGCACTCATAAGAATATTTCCCCTCAGTTTAGAAAATCGAGTCAACAGATTTGTAATTTGTTCTCTTAGCTCAATAAAAACAGCCCACACTTTGTACAACCCATGCCAAGTGTTTGGTCAATTTGTGCACACTGGGTTGCACTCTGTTCCTTTAGTTTAATGAAATGCAGGCATTTTACTAATGTCTACATTTGGCTAAACATTTCCTTCCATGTCTAGATCTGGCATCTGTGCTCTGAGACAAGGATTTAAGCATCATCTACAAATTCCAAAATCGATCTGTGATATTCAATATCATCAATAGAACAGTCTGAGTTTTCATCACAAATCACATTTCCCTTTATTATTAATGCAACAGTTCAACAGTTCGCTTGTCCAGTTTGGAGCCTGACTTGTTTTGATTGGTTTGTAGTGTATTGTATACTTTTGTACACTTTATTGGAGGTGAGGTTTAGCAGTGGCTAACAGATGCTTATTATGAAGTTGATGTTCATGGAAATATGAGCTTGTTGAACGTAATGATGTCTGTTAGTAAATTTGCAAGCACAAATTTGAGTGCACAGTGAGGGAATATTTCATAAACTGAATATGAAAGAGGTTTTAGACTAGGGTGGGTATTTTATTTTTACTTTTTCCAGAATTATGACTTTTCTTCTCATAATTTTGACTTTAATTTCCAAAATTTGTGAAAAAAGACACAATTTTGAAGTCTGGGGGAAAAAAATCTATGGCTTTAATCCTCTTCTGTAAGTTCAAGTTTCTTCATTGTCATTCGCATCACATGTGGTACATGAGGTGAAACAAAATTGTGTACTCAAGGTCCCAGTTACACCCCAAAATAGCAAAAATAAAAAGCATCAAAAGAAACAGTATATAAGGATCTAAGATATACACTAAGATATATGCTAAACGAGCGCTAAATGATATGCTTAAAGATCTAAGATATATGCTTAACACTAATAATGTAAAATAATACTAAACGGCAGACCGAACATGAGCCTGTAGTGAGTAGTTGAGTATGAATTCATTCAACCCAATTCAATTCATACAGGTTAATCCCATTGAGCCACGTGGACTCATTTACAAGAGAGATCTGATTTTAACAAAGAGTGATGACAACAGTGGACAACAAAGACAATCATAAAGGATGCATACAAATTGAGAATAACAAGTGAAAATAAAATGGTATTAAAAAATGTAACCAAAAACAACAGCTAGGTTGTAAGGTGATGTAGAAAACTAAAAATTAAATTATTACATTATTACCTGCAGTGTTCCCTCAGTGAGGACTGAACTAGCCAAAAGGGCCTTCTCCTACTCCGCTCCTGGAATATCTTGCAAAAAGATCTGAAGCTCTCCACCTTGACCTTTCTTAAACAAATGTTACGTTCCTGAAAAAAAAAACAATGCGGACATGTTCTTGTTTTTAGTTTTCATACATCACCTTACAACCTAAACTTGTTTTTTTTTAATGTTACATTTTTTTAATACCATTTTATTTTCACTTGTTATTCTCAATTTGTATGCATCCTTTATGATTGTTTATTGTTGCACCTTTAATTCCCTAAATTCCTGGCACTTGCGGGGCTCCATACATTTGCACCGCATCCTTAAAAAAAATTTAAAAAAAAACGCTGCGTGTGCACTTTCTTTCACGTACATTTTAAGTTGGAAACGTTGCGATTTCCTACATTTTTCAAAATATGTTTTGCGGCAGCAGCTCGGCTCCTCTCCCACATCAGGAGTCTGGTGTCAGGGGAGGAGTTGGAGCTGGAAGACACAAAACTTTTTGCTCGTCGTGTATCGACGCCACGCCTCTGCGCGTTTTTCACCCTAGCGTTGATTTCATACCGAAGTCATACTTCGCATTCCAACTTTGTTTTCTGTCAAAGACAATTGTTTTCCCCGCACCACCACCACCTGGCAGAATAGGTGGGCAAGTTTCTTGCACAAACGGAGGTTTTGAATAAACCAGAGGAGCTTGTGGTTGTAAGAACAGCGCAGGGGAGGCCGCCGTGAGGTGAGTGCGCTCCCGGAGAACTTTCTTTGTTGTGTGCAGCAACTTTTCACGCCGCAGCGGCAGCGTAGCTGGAAGTTTTGGGATATTTCACATATTTTGCATTTTCCCGGCGCGGCTTTGCTGATTCAGAGTCTCGTGCGTTTAGCTGACAGCCCCCTTTTGTGTGTTTAACCAACCGCCCGTGATTCAGCCGCTTACTTTTTGTTGTTGGCGTCTCCGAGGTAGTTTGCAGTTTGTTACGGTTTTGTTAGCCTCCAAGCTAACGAACTAGCATGCCAGTTCGAGAGTGTTAGCAGCTTTTACTAATGGCTGACAGCAAAGTTTGCTACACAGCTTAACGCCTTTGTGTGTTGTGTCTCTCTGTGTTTTTTTTACTTTTAGCACGACCTATGTAAGTTTACTTGTCTGGGGAGGGAAGCAGTTTGTTGACTAAACGTCTCTCGACCGACCGTGATTTCATTTCCCCCCACGGTTCATGCTAGCTGCTAGCATACGTAAAAGTTTTCTAAACGGAAACGACAAGGGCGAACATTTCGGCACACATTTTATCCTGGAACTCTGATTTCCAATGGATCGTATCTTCTAAAATCTACTTAAAGGTGTCGTAGTGGTGAACTGAAGTTGCCATGGAAGTCCGTGTTGGGTGCTGTGATGAAGCCGGGCTTGAGCAGCCGTGTCCCCGCGGCGCTCATTGGCGCAGCTCGGACTGTGCTTGTGTCCTTTCAGAGTCTGCTGAGCTCATAGTTTTATTTAGCCCCATGCTTTACTGGCTTCTCACAGCACAAAGCACCTGATCTTTAGCCCACTGGGAGCTATATTGAAACTGGCAGAGCCACATGAGCACAATCGTGTCCTAAAGTTGAGGTTAAAGTTTAGTTGTTATCCCAACGAAAAGCGAAGGGAGGTGATGTTTTGTTGTGTGTTTTAATGAAATGTGTAGAAGTTAATCACTGGATGTGTGTGTAACTGTCTGATTACCTTTTTGGAGTGAACCTGATTTCAAGAAAGCTGCTGTTCACCTTTTTGGAGTCAACTTTGCAAACATCAGATGAACCACTTGGTAGATTTTCATGCAACTTTCAGGAAATAATTAGCATCTCTGCAACTCCTTACCATTTGGAACCAGTCCAGTTCAAGATGGCTACCACCGCCAGTGATCTTGGAAAACAAAAATATCTATAAACCATACATTACATATTTTATACTAGTTACTTGGACAGAACACATCCTCCATGTGTACTCACTGAGGCGAACCTTTGCCTAACTAAAACTTTAGCATACACTGTTGGAGTCAACCCAATTAGTTAACAATTTAATAATTTTTAATCAATTTACTTTTGCAGCCAGTTTGATCAAAACAGTTACAACCCTGTCACTTCTTAACATTAAATTATCTTAGTCTAAAGCTCTGGCATGAAAGGCCGTGGGAGATATGCATTTCTTTCATAGTTTATAAGCTTTATATTGTAAAGACATAATTGACATCATTTCATTTGGCCAGGTTTCTCTTGCTCAAGAATTGTACAGAATTGTGAGAGATGTGGTTATCCTGGACCGCATGGTGTAGGTAGTCCAACTCATTTAATGAAAGATCTCATGGTGACAGTCATAATTATGAGTCTGTTCCAAGTCAGTGATGCAGAAGGGACTTAATATTCCACAATTATTTTTTAAATGTATCAAGAAGCGTTTCTCCAATTAGAAAAACAAATTTTGACTTTCAAGTTTGAAAAGTTTAAGAGTGACACCGGTCATTTAACCAAAAATCGCTTGAAGTCTGTGACATTAACATTGTTTACTTCTTGTTAGTGTCCGTTACAGACTATAACATTATACAATGTGTTCATTCATGTGTATTGTCTTGATTTAATGGAATTCAGTTAGTATTAAAGTAACTGAGTGTGATTGAAGCTGCTAATAAAGTTTTTAGTATTTTAATATGACAAAATGTCATTTTTAATGCATGAAAGGCCAAATGGAAAGAACATAGTCATGCTTTTTTTATTGCTTGCAGCGAAACAGCCGGTGATAATTCAGTTTTGTGTATGTGCGTATGCATGCGTGTTTGTAGGTGACTAGGTGTTAATGTGTTCGTAATGTTGACAAATATCTCCTGAACATGTCTAGAAAAGTAATCAATAAAACTGTGTATACTTAAATTTTGTTATGCTTTACAAACGTTCAGTGATTCAATTAAAGCGTTTTATGCCCAGAATTAATTTTTTCTTTCTCCTTTCTATAAAACTAAACTTCTGAATCAAGTCCCTCCTACAGTGTATCACAAAAGTGAGTACTCCCCTCACATTCCTGCAGATATTTAAGTTTATCTTTTCATGGGACAACACTGACAAAATGACACTTTGACACAATGAAAAGTATTCTGTGTGCAGCGTATACAACAGTGTAAATTTATTCTTCCCTCACAATAACTCAATATACAGCCATTAATGTTACCACCGGTAACAAAAGTGAGTACACCCTTAAATGTCCAAACTGAGCACTGCTTGTCATTTTCCCTCCAAAATGTCATGTGACTCGTTAGTGTTAGAGGTCTCAGGTGTTCATAGGGAGCAGGTGTGTTCAGTTTTGTAGTACAGCTCTCACATTCTCTCATACTGGTCACTGAAAGTTCCAACAGGGCACCTCAGGAGGATCTTAAAAGACGGATTGTTGTGCCACATGAAGATGGCCAAGGCTCCAAGACGATTGCCAACACCTTGAAACTGAGCTGCAGCACAGTGGCCAAGATCATCCAGCGTTTTAAAAGAGCAGGGTCCACTCAGAACAGACCTCGCGTTGGTCGTCCAAAGAAGCTGAGTGCACGTGCTCAGCGTCACATCCAAATGCAGTCTTTGAAAGATAGGCGCAGGAAACTGGTCTGTATGGCCGTCCAAGCAGAAGGAAGCCTCTTCTGAAGTCTACACAAGAAAGCAAGCAAACAGTTTGCTGAAGATGTGTCAACAAAGGACATGGACTACTGGAACCATGTCCTATGGTCTGATGAGACCAAGATTAATTTTTTTTGGTTCAGATGGTCTCAAGCATGTGTGGCGGCAATCAGGTGAGGAGTACAAAGATAAGTGTGTGCTGCCTACAGTCAAGCAAGGTGGTGGGAATGCCATGGTCTGGGGCTGCATGAGTGCAGCAGGTGCTGGGGAGTTACATTTCATTGAGGGACACATGAACTCCAATATGTACTGTGAAATACTGAAGCAGAGCATGATCCCCTCCCTCTGGAAACTGGGTCGCAGGGCAGTGTTCCAGCATGATAATGACCCCAAACACACCTCTAAGACGACCACTGATTTATTGAAGAGGCTCAGGGTAAAGGTGATGGACTGGCCAAGCTTGTCTCCAGACCTAAACCCCATAGAGCATCTTTGGGGCATCCTCAAGTGGAAGGTGGAGGAGCGCAAAGTCTCGAATATCTGCCAGCTCTGGATAGTTTAAAGTGTTGAAGATAATTAAACTAACTTAGGGTACTGTGTAATATGTTGTGACCATCACTTTTTCGTGTTGTGCACATTCACTAAAAAAAAAAGAAGCTCTTTTACCATTTCAACAGACTGGTCGAATCACTATGGAAACCACACACACAGCCCAGTCAGCAGTGACTGACTCTGAAAAGGCTGTGCACACAGTGTGTTGTAGAAGCCCACTGCAGCAGGGGAAGTTCAGTGACCACACCGATGCTTTGTGGTTCTTTTGTGGCACGGACCATGTTTGCCACGCTCTGGAAAACATTACACTCCTGGCTACATTCGTCTGAGACTCATAAACGTCTTGGACCATCCGCAACAATAACAAGAAAATGTGCAATGTCCTCATGTTTCCTGCGCTCTGACTTCTAAGAAGTTTGTATGGCTTCAAGATTAGTTGTTTTGTGTCCAGCTGCGTGTTAAATTTAGACATTTATCCTGTGTGTAATTTCTGTATTATATTGTTATTTTTATATAGTAAATGCACTGTACTAATGTAGATCTTTAGATTAACTTTGGTTCTAAAGCACCCTGAACTTTTTATCCGAGGTCCTCTTCCCTGGAATGACCTGACTACGATGTTGGCAGCAGAAAACCTATTTGACAAGTATCCTGATGCATGCTCAATAATTCAGGTAGAAAAATCCAAAAAAGTTCAGTCTGGTCCTCTGGACATTCAAAAAAACAAAACAAAGCAAAAAAATGTAGATACGTTTCGTCTTTCATCCGAAAGACTTCCTCAGCACCTCAGACTGAGGAAGTCTTTTGGATGAAAGACGAAACGAATCTACATTTTTTTGTTTTGTTTTTTTGAATGTCAAGAGGACCAGACTGAACTTTTTTGGGCTATTTGACAAGTATTAACGGGTCATGTAGATTGTGAACAGTGTGGCAGAGTTGTCATTACAGATGCACATTTTAGCAAAAACATGTTTTGAATTAATTGGTAATATCTTTACTTTAAATATATTTGACCTTTTCATGCTGGGCTACTTATTATAGCACAAGTGTCAGTAGAAACACAAACCGTTTTAAAGCAGTCCTAATCATCAGCACTCGGTCAGCTTCTACTTTGATTTAAGACTGTTGCTTGGTTCATGTTTTTAACACAACCCCCCACCCCCAAGTCTACACGATTGAAACTTCCATTGAATGGCGTCGTTTGCTTACCTCAAAGTCCTGCAGCTGAAACCCCCCACCCCCAAGTGAAATAGAGGCTTCCGGTGCAAAGACATGTGCTGCTGCTAATTTTGCTACTGGGGATCTATATATTTCTTTATTTTCATCATTCCATTGGAGCAACATTGATGCACATATTCTGACAGTAAAATTGAGTTCACACATGACCATTGTTTCAACCTAATATATATATATATATATATATATATATATATATATATATATTTATGAAATAAACTGTAGTAGGAGATGCTAATCCTGGGATTTACAGGTCCTTCTCAAAAAATTAGCATGTTGTGATAAAGGTCATTATTTTCCATAATGTAGTGATAAAAATGAAAC